TTTGGGTTCAAATTTCGGATGAATTTCAATTTTCAATTTTCAGATCAATTTGGGTTCAAATTTCGAACGAATTTCAAATTTCAGATAACATTTTCATCCAATCAAATCAAGCCACGTGGCATCTCTATCTTGCCAAAATTTTCTATAAAATCAGAGGCTCAGCTCATACTTCTCACACCACATCTTTCCATATTTTCATTTCTTAGAGTTTAGAATTCATACTTCATTCATTCTCAATGGAAGAATATAGGAGATGCTTGGAGAGGAAAGAGCAAGAAAGAAATGAGAGAAACCGTAAAGCCGATGAAATCAATGAGTTGCAGAGACAAGTCGATGAACAAGTTCTCATAGCAGTGGCTTTGCAAGAGGAAGAGAAACAAGGTCGCCGCCGTGGTTTACAAGTCGGTCGTCGCTGGAATGTGGACAGATATAGGCATTCTTGGGATAAGAATCTTTTGGAAGATTATTTTATCCCAACTGCTTTGTACTCTGATGTTGATTTTCGAAGGCGATTTAGAATGCAACCCCATTTGTTCAATAAAGTCATGCATGATAAAAAAAATCAAATACAAGTCATTAAGAATTACTACTACTAAAATAAAATACATGAAGTATAACAACTTTAATAGAAAACATGAAAAATAAAAATACATAAAAGGTATGCCAACTAATTTAATGGTTTTGATCATTTAACCAATCCGTGTTGCTAGGCCCATCATCCTGGAAAGTCTTCTTCTCACAACATCTCTTCGTTCTAGCTTCCAATATTGTTTTGTTTCAAGGGACATATGGCTTGTATCCATCGTCATGGTTTCCTGATCCGTCTTCTCCATATCTTTTTTGCGCAAATACTCTTTTTCTCGTGCACACTCGGCTTGAATTGCCACCTACATATCTTGGCGTTTCTGCTCCATTTCAATTCTTATGGCGTTCTGCCTTGCAATTTCCTCCAAAAACTTTGAATTATTATTGCTTGAATTACCTGCTTTCTTTGTCTTCGCAGCCTTTCGGCCAATGGGCCTCGGCTCCTTTTGGATGGGTGAGTCTTCACTCATAGGGGAATCCAGAGGTGAATCCGATGTCGTTGAATCACAAAGTGGCGTCTCGTTTAACACAACGTCTGGACCCGTGGGAATAACTATGAAGCGTTTTCAATATTTCACCACCTCCCAACATTCATGATGGTTGAAACTTTTTTTGCCACCCCCGGTTGCACTGAACCACATCTGTGCTTGAATCATCTATGTAACAAAAAAATAGAAATGCAAAAAATATTTAAAATATATTGGATATGCAAGTAACAAAAAAAAATAATAATGGAAATGCAATTAACCTTACAAATAAGTTTGGAAGTGCAAGAAATATGAAGAAACAATTGGAAATGCAAGAAATATTAACAACATATTGAAAATGCAAAAAATATTAACAAAATATTTAAAATGCAAGAAATATTAACAAAATATTGAAAATGCAATCAATATTAACAACATATATATAATAGGACATAAACTTAATAAAACGAAAATTACAAAATACTTACCTCGTTAGTACGATTTTCCCTGCTTCTATAGTTGTTCATCGCTTTTGCCAAGGCATCTCTCCATTTTGCCAACTCTTTGTTGAGAATTTTCCACCTACTCGACAATGCCATTTCCGTACGAGTCAACTCCGGAATTTTTTCGCAAAATTCGGCATGAATTTTTTTCCACATATGAAAAAATTTCATCTCATT